GCTGCAAACCAGTTTCCCGATATATATATATATATATATATATTACTCTAACTAATATACTAAAATTGTCTTGATTGAATACAGCCAGTATTCTTTTGTTCCTTGAAATTCTTCAAAAATGTCTCTTTAACAATTGGTTCGTTGTAATTAGGCATTCAATGTAAATGTTTGTTTGTCTAGGTCAAGGTCAAAGTCGATGCTATATTTTATGTCTCCCTGCTGAGAGACGTAACTTCCTTTTACTTTCTTTCTTTGACAATAAATTGTGTTTCTAATTTTTTTAAATTAAAATTTTAAAAAAATATGTACTGTACTATTTGTTATACTATACTCATAATATTAAATTGAAAAACACTCTTCTCGTTTTTTTTTTACAAGAGTAATGGTTAGGAAGTTAGTATGAGTTAGTTGTTAACAACTGGTTTTCAGACCAGATGAACATTCCACCCCCTCAAATGAGGCGCGCGGCCATCAAGCGACCTTTTGGTGGAGTTCACGACAGTGGTGGAGCTTAAAACTCCGACCACCTCACCCAAGCACTTAAGGTTTGGAGTCAAACTATTGGGCTAAAGGCCCGGTTCCACTCTTCTCGTTTAGGCTATGCCAATTCAATGGAATATGTCTATCTAGGTCAAGGTCTAAATCAGTGCTATATTTTAGGTTAAAAATCCTTAATTTTATCTTTGAATTAAAAAAATTCCTACTATTTATTAATTTAAACTCAAGTTGATTCTTTTGTATAAAAATAAATAACATGTTTTATTATCATGTGGACGTTAAGTAATAATTTTTTATCATTAAATAGCAGACATGTCAATTATTTTTTTAACAAAAAAATTAATTTAAAATTAAATTGATAAATAATAAAGACCAAATAAGAGATTTTTTTTTTAATTTAGAGAACAAATAAGAGATTTAAAAAATAGTTGAGGGGCAAAAGGTACCCATTTGCCCTTCAAATTTTCAAATTTGAGGCATTTTACCCCTTATATTACAATATATGATTTTTTTATCCTTCATGTTTTTGAATATATGATTTTTTATTCTTCATGTTTTCGAGTTTAGGGAAATAAAGCAAAATTTAACGTCAGAAGGGCCACGTGCGGCACGTGTGGCACGTGCATCGTTAATCTCCGTCGTTTATTGACGTGTTCATGTCAACTCAGATTTTTTTACATGTTGGCAAGTCCAGCTTACTCCTCTGAATTTCTACCCCAACAATATAGTTTTTTTTTTTTTTTTCGTTCCTCAGTTTCCTCTTCCCTTCTTCAACCCTTTCTTTAACTTCTGCAAATCTCTAACATCTTAACCAATCTATTCACCCAATCAACCATGGGTTCGAACGAAGCCAGTGTGTGGGTTCGATGAAACCCTCAATTTCTGCAAATCTCTAACATCTCAACCAATCTATTCACCTCAATCAATCTCTACATTCTAAGTTCTTCATCATCATCAAACAACAAAACCCACAGAAAACAAAAAAGAAAAAAAAAAGAAAGGGTTCCACAGGTTCCGAAGAACCCAGGCGTGAATCGATGGAAACCCTCAACTTCTGCAAATCTCTAACTCAACCAATCGGATCACCTCAATCAATCTTTACCCTTACTGGGTTCTTCATCATCATAAAAAAAACAAAACCCACAGAAAACAAAAAAAAAAA